GAAATCTAAATATTTCGAACACAATTTTATGGCTTCAGTTAAATATATTTTGAACGCAATTGTATGCTTTCAACGATAGATAAAATGTATTGATGTTAGTTTTACTACAATAGGAATTGTTAGTATTTATTTTAATATAATGATGTATTGCTGGTATTTTTACTATAAAAAAGTATTTTTGTACTTTCATAGGGTTTCGTTTTTGTTTGGAAGTTCACTGTTTGCCCATAGCAGAGACTCTAACAGTTGCTACCACCCTGAATGGTGGGTCCGGAAGCAACAGCATTTAAGAGGTGGTTCCTTGAAACTTTTCCCGATCAAAGGCCTTGCTGCCGGATGTAGTTTATCGTCACACCCAGGACTATTTTTAGGCGAAATTTCGTGTCAGTTCGTATTCATCAGGTTTACTCGACAATTGTCTCGCACCATGTTGAGTAAACCTGATGAGCAACTTTCTCAGTAGATCTATACCATCTGGGAGCCTACGAACAAGAAAGAAATGACACCTGAATCAGAACATTAGGTTCAAGCCTTCAGAATTTCAAGACTGAATTTTCCAAGAGACTTAGTGGAGCGTTGGTTAAAACTTACAGTTTTCCCTGTTAGTTGTGAGTTCAATCCCCGAGTCTGGTAGTACTGAAAAATCACATTCAGTTTCAATGGAAGAAACGGACAAGCGACACAAAATCATAAGACAAGTAAGTATTAAATGATTTGAAATATCCTTTAATCATAGAAAACATTAAGAAAAGTCTATACTCATGGACTGAATAAAAATATCACTTCAAAATTCCAAGGTCATCGAGTACGAGACAGACACCTGACAAAGACCGGAGATAATAACGATCGAAACGTTCTGAGTAAAACAACCAAGATGAGCCTGAATAGAAAAGCATTTAATAAGACTGACACATGAAAAAGGGCAGGAGAATAAAAAGGGCGGGAGAATGAAAGTTTGTAAGTATAATAACCAATAGTAGAAAATAATGATGATTACTCATGTCATGTATGGCATCAAATTCGGTCAGAAATAACTAAACTGTCAGCTGTATACAGCCGCTTTCTGAACACAATGATTAAAAATAGCTTTAAGTTAATGAAGACTGTAAGTCTTAGTGAGGAACATACTTTTTTTAATCATTTCACCTCAAGCAAAGCAATAAAGCCACTAAGATGCAAGGGGATGGTGAGTGAATATGAGAAAAAGAAAAAAAATATTATTAAGAGAGAGAGAGAGAGAGAGAGAGAGAGAGAGAGAGAGAGAGAGAGAGAACAATAAAAGAACAGGAATTAAAAAGACAGAAGATAACGACTGGCATTACATTTAAAGTTCTGAAGATGAAAGTTGATTTGAAGTCAAGAAGCCGGAAGATTGTTCTATGAACGAGAGGTGCGATAGAAAAACTGTCAACATAGCACTTACGGTGGCATCTAAGCTATTTCAACTGTAAAATACAAAGACTTTGTTGCCAATCTAGTCAGTTAAGTGCCATATATGATACATACTTGGGCGATCATGTCATTTTCGATTCATAACTGACTAGGCAGAGACTTACCAGCAGCAAGTCAACGTTTCTTTCTACGGTAGACTAGTTGCCAACTAAGTCTGTATGACTCAGCCTGTCCTGCTATTGAACCCATAGCTTGGGGAGAAGAGAAGTGAATGTAACGATTCCGATTGGAATTCGAACACGCCTCTTCGATTTCTCATTTCGAGCCGATATTCATTACAGCAAAACGCACATCCTTACATGAGTCTTGTACTATTCTTAAATTCATAAAGTCTAGAGTACTAAATTAATAATTCTTTGAACTTTATAGACTTGCGTTACAGAACCACACACAGCTTTACCAAATGGCAGAAACATAATCACTTGGGGATATCTAACAACGGCAACAACTAAAATGCAACCCGAAGGGAAAATAAGAACATAACGAAGATATTGATGTTCAATACAACTTCAAAGAAAAAGTTAAGAACGAAACCCACAGTAACACGGGAAAATACGATAACAGTTACTGAAAGTTGTTTCCCTGAAAAATTGTTTTGATAAAAACATTTCATAAATTTCAAACAACGGTAGCAATTGCTGCTCAGTCAATGAATGTTAAGTGATTCCTCATAAGGGAACAGATAATATTATCATTTACTATAACCCGACTCAGGGACTGAATAAATCAACACATAAATATAATCCATACAGCCAAAAAAGTAATAATATACCTGAAGAAGGCCAGAGCGTACTTGACCGTAATGTCGTGTCTATAATAACGTCTAGATAACAATAAAGAATGGCAACCCTAGTTCGATTAAGTCAAAGTATATAGACTGTTCCACACTTAAAAAAAAAACATGATTAAAAGTGAAATCCGCCGTGGTAGGTAAAATGTCGAAATCATCTGATGCTTATTCTAAAGTTCTAGACTCTCTTCTATGTGACTGTTGTCTAGTGGATATAAACGCTGGTTAGTTAAATACTGCTGACATCTAGCTGTCGCGATTTCGAATGCTGTCTTTGGTAATCAAACAACATTTACATCCTAGTAAAGACAAGCAAGAACTTGTACCACAAGGACAAAAATAACAAAAGAATGAACTATAATAGCCGATAGAGCCAAAGTTAATGGACAACTGAAGATGGCCAGAGGATGATTGGCCGGAACGCCGTATCTATAATCGCATCTATAACAATTAAAGAAGAGAACAATAGATTGAATAAGTTTGATAATTTCTCATTTCAAGAATGAAAATAAAATTACCAAATTAATAAACAAGTTTCTTCCCCAAAAAAACATTTCTCTCCCAGTTAAATTTTTAGCAAAACAAAAACTAGTAACAGAGAACATTTCTTTAATCAAACCTAGAGATGATGCGACCAACATCTTTTGACCAGAAAGACTTTGTGTCGACATTGACTTTGTTTTTTTTTTCTGCTATAATCTTTAGTGTCTCTTTTTCTTTTTATTTCTCACTGTTTAATTTATACACTCAGTAATCTAATCTCACCTGCAGGTCACTATCAGCGTTTAGCACCTAAATAAACTTAAACATTCTTAAATTGAGACGGGATTCTATTACCTTTGTCGTTTTTTATGGCATCAAGGTTTACGTAATATTTTAATCAGGCACTTTCCCTTCGCAGCAGATTCCTATCGTTAAAATTTTTATTCTAGTATGCAATCCCTTTTCGAACTGCCGACCATCTCTTATTGCTTTTAATTATACAGAAAATAAATTCAAATCTCAACAGAATCTAATCCTTTTTTTCTGATTCATTTTACTCTATGTTTGTAGAATGTAAATATCGACATGAGCGTCGCCATAAAAGGCAATAGAATTTTTACTGTTTTTCACCCATTACAAGACATAAGAGCAACACAAGTTAATAATAACAATGCTTTATCTAAGAAATTCAAACAGTTGGATATTAATATTTCTTTTGCTGCTGATGCTACTTTTACAAGGATATTTGTGGCGTAATGGATAACAGCTCGGGATAAGAACTTGGAGACCCAAATTCGAATTCCAATTAGGTTCGTTATATTCATATATGCGCAAATACCACTGGGAAAAGTATGAATCCATTTTTTAAAGCCCCCACCCATCCCGCAATTTATGATTTGAATAGAAGGACGATTTGAGCTCTATAGCCTTGGTTGGCAATCAGTCTACAGAAATGGGAACTGATTGCAGGAAAATCTTCTGCCTAGTCAGTCATCAACCGGAAGAGATCGTTCAAGCGTGTATAGCGAATGGCATTTAACTGAATGAACTTAATTTTATGCAAGTCACGTTTTTTTCCAAATATCTTCTAATTGGCTGCATATATCTGAATTTAATTCAACCATGAATTCGGTGACACTGCCATGTGCAATCGTGTCCAATAGCACATGGTAATGCACAACAGTGAACAAATGGTAGCCATTTTGTTGCCATTTGTTATCGCTTCAATTTGTACGCAATATGATCTGTATAGCAAGTTTGAAAAATGATGACAAGGCGAAAACTATTCAAATGCTTCACGATCACACGACAACATTAGAATTTGCTTCCTTCCTTAGAAGAGGTTATCGTACGATCATAAAATCTATTACACGACCGACTCCATACATTTCGTGACATGAGAAAAGGAAGATACGGAAATCTTTGCTTTTCACTCAATGAAAGCAAAACCCAACTGAAAATTGAGATGCACAAACACCAGCTTAAGAGCAGCAAAACATTAATCTTATGCCATGGGCTTCCAAATGCGCCCAAAAACGTCACAAAGGTTACATATTGAAGCGTTTAGGATCGTGCACTAAACCAATTGTTCGCCCGCCTTTGAAGACAAATTACCTCATTAAGTTTGTCAACTAAGCCAAAAAGTATATAAAGCTGGATTTCCAGAAAGTGCTATTCACAGGAGAGTAACCGGCGACATTGTACGTGTCTCTGGCGGCTTATGAAATGGGTGGAGATTGAAGAAAGAACTTAAATCTATTTGGTCGAAGCGTTAGCAAGTAGGTGTGTGTGTGTGTGTGGGGGGGTTATGTTTTGATGTTATTTTTCGCCAGTAATGAATTGGTTGACCCCTGGAAGGTGGACATTGGCGTTAAAATGACTTTTTTTTGCCTATAATGAATTTCTAAAGCCCAATCTTCAAACATACGATTGGGAAGAAAAAAATTTCCGGCATTCAAACGAAAAAAAAAATCATTTCATGCCAAGTAACTAATGAATACTTTTGGAAATTAAAGTTTTTTAAAATGATGGGCTTATGGTATGGCTACTATGTTCCAAAGATCTAATCCCAATTGAAATCATTTGAAGAATTGTCAAGAGATGTCTTTAAGAAGACAGTAGTCAAGTTGTAGGAAAAAAACAAAACAAAGAAACAAAAACAATTGGACACATTATTAACTGTTAACGAATTTCTTACCATTGAAGAATTTTTTAAATGAACATTTGCCAACAGTAAGTTCTGCATTGTTGCTGCACTTAATTCATTTTGTGTGACTTACGGCCACATCACGTTGAAACATTGGTTCCCGTACGATAACCGAAGTTAAGCAACGTCGAAGCTTGTCAGTACCTAGATGGGTGACCGCTTGGGAATACCAGGTGCTGCAATTTGGATGCGCGGGTGTTGTAATGGATAATGGCTCGAAATTGATCATCGGAGAACTGAGTTCCAATTCCCGTTCTTCAGCCCCCAGCTATGGGTTAATTAGTAAAATGTGTATCACTAAACCATTATTATCTCCAAAAAAATCTTATAATCTAAAATATTTTCGAGCTCTAAATAACCCGTAAAAGGTTGATAAACCGTAAAAAACGAATTAATTAACAGTTTGTCTTGGACAGTTCTTAACGTATTTCGTTTAAATAAATCATTGTTCTGTTATTCATTGTCTTTCATTTTTTATATTCATATACTTTCACATTGATTTTTTGGTGGTTTTTAATACTAAATTTCAAGAGCTCGAGAGCCTCTCAAGGTAGAGAGCTGCAGTCATCAAAATGAATAATGCTGAATAAGGTTTGTGATATGAATAGAAAAGGTGGCAAAATATAACGATTGATCCTTACCTTAAAGAGATCAAGACTGATGTGTTCAGGAAAGTATCCAGGTAATAGTCTGTTCCCCAAAGTGAAAATTCATGTTAGAAAGCTACGTTGGAACACGAAGGAAACGAGTGAGATTCGACTCCATAAAAGTGGGATGGCGGCTCTTAACTGTAATGGTCTAAACTGATGAAATGTTGTAAAGTGAGGCTTGAACCGCCCCAGTCCGCATATTGCAAACATACTTCATTTTTGGTCGAATCTGATTCTTGGAAACATAAAGCATTGCAGAATTTCTTAGATAGAATGAGCCTACCATTTTTCATATATTCAAGCACAAACTCAATTCTATTTCATGCTGGAATTTAATATTTTTCCATATCTTCTAAAGATTTATTGTGACTTTTAGGAATATTGCAATTTTTCTTACTTGCATAAAATATTGGAACGAGCTTTATGTATAAAAAAAAGCAAAAATCAAATAAAATATCGATGAAAACATTACAACAAAAATGAAAATGCTTCACGTAAAAAAAATTCGTACGATTTTACAAACAGTTATCTATAATGCATAATTATTATCGCTATGTAGATATAGCTACAATCTGTTGTTAACTGGAGCAAGGAATGGCTTGTTAATTTTGACGCCTCCAAAACGAAACTGCTCTCTATTAATTGTCTTAGAGAAACTTTTTTACCTTCCATCAGCATGGCTGATGCTAACCTCCAGGAGAGTAAATCATACGCCTTCTCGCACGATCGTTTTCCGCTGAGATGAAGTGAAATGATTACATTAAATCAGTTGCTAAGTCTGCTGCTAGGTAAGTCGGTTCAATACGTTGTGCTAGAAAATTTTTATTACCAGAATCTATTTTACACATTTATAAATCTACCATTCGTCCATATATTGAATAATTGTCATGGTATGGTACTTCTGCTGTGTATTTAGAGATTCTCGAAAAAATACAAAGAATGATCGGCAATGTCATTGGTTTTGACCTGGCATCTCGGTTTCAGTCTTTTTCCCACCGCCGTAACGTAGCTTCTCTGTTCTTTTTCTATGACTATTTTCACGGTAATTGTTCTGATGAGCTTTCTTTAGTACCTATGATTTTAAACGCAGTACTGGTGTGACGTCGTCCTCTGGTCGCAGCGCCAACTGTGACGTTCTATCCTGATCTACCACGGCACCAGTTGTGACGTCCCCAAACAGCACCAATTGTGACGTCCTCGCCGCAGCGCCAGCTGTTCGCTCCTCGCTGCTCCGTTCGGGTGTCGCTGCTCCAAACGTGACGTCCGCCTGTCGCGTCAGTCGTGTTGTCTCGTCCTGTGACGACCAACTGGCTTGGTATCGGTCGCGGCACCCAAATGTGACGTTCTAACCTTTTGGTGCTGCGGGTGGGAATCTGGTTAGATTTGATATCAGCCTCGTCGTTCCCAATTCGCTTCCAACGCCTGGTTACCAAGGTAACAGCATTGATCTCCAGTCTGCTCACCCACGTTGTGAATTGATCTTAGGCAGACGAGATCAATCAGTAGTCGGGGCCGTAATGCAAACTGAGTTCAACGGGGGTGATACAACACAAATATGCATAAAATAAAATAAAATGAAAACTCAAAAAGTTCAAAGTATCAAAGAAAAAGGTAACAAACTTTATGTCTAGTTGTTCGATACATAGGACTGCATCTATCTCCCGAACCGTTCTGTGGATTGTGACACGTCGTTTTCCGTTAGGCAAGTTTTAACGCTTCAAGTTGTTTGCTCTCTAAGAAATTGGTGTTTCGGTGTGTCTTTGGACGAAAGTCGAAAAAAAAAAGTTATTTCTGTGGTCTGGATCTAAGTCGCTCTTCAAAATAATTGTTCTTGGGTTGAAGAGGAGTCCGGAATTTGCGTGAATCTTGGTCAGCTGAACTCACTGGAACTGCTGGAACTCAACTCTGAAACTGCTGGAGCCCGAACTGATTTCTGCTCGTGGGGGGCTTCCTTTTATGGACGCCGACCAAAACCGGGGTGGGTCTGTCGGCGTCGGGGGTTCCTCGATAATTCTAAATACATATCCACCTCTTTTATTTCTGGTTAGGGATTTTCCACTCTTTTTCCATTTTGGGAACCTTTTCTCCTCCCACCTTCTCACCATACTTCAGAGGGCGTGAACTTCCTCCCCACTTCTTCGTAGCAGCTTCTCATACCTATACTCTGGATGAGGCGTCGACAGCCTCCTTCGTGCGTCACGTGATCACCACTTGACCAATGATGTCTTAATCGACGTGGACGAATCCGCGGCTTTGTTTCAGGAAGAAAAAAAAATCTTGCTTAACCAAAAAAAATTATCTTTCCTCCTCCTTCGTGCGTCACGTGATCATCACTTGACCAATGATGTCTTAGTCGGGCGTGGACGAATCCGCGGCTTTGTTTCAGGAAGAAAAAAAATATCTTGCTTAACTAAAAAAAATTATCTCTTCTCTTTCCCTTTTCTTCCTCTTAATCGCCGTTATCATTTCCCTAGCCGCAACGGGACAATATGACAACTCTTGTTCTACACGTGGTTTTCGTCAGGTATTTTTATCGCCAATTATCAGAATGGGTGGTCTTCTTAACACGGCCTCAAAAAAGAAACATCTCCAAAGTTTCAGTCAGTCTGTCGCTTCGAAGAAAGAAGAAAAAACACTTCTGGGTCCCCATTCATTTTCTTTCGGTACATATTTCTGATAATATAATTTTATTATCGTAGGCCAAGATGTTCTGCGGCAAGAAAATCTGTCAGTGTAGTTACTTCGTGTGTGTCGCGATTAATTTTTCCATATCTACCCAAAGCCCTGTAGTTACACCTGTGTTTTGTCAATTATCAAAATTAACGTTTTCAATTGGACTTTTCTTTGGCGAACATTTCTTGATAACATAATTTTATTATCGCAGGCATAAAGATGTTCTGCGGCAAGAAAATCGGTCAGTGTGGTTACTTCGTGTGTGTCGCGATTAATTTTTCCATATCCATCCAAAGTCCCTTTTAGTTGCCTGTTTTTCGTCACTTATCGAAATAACATTTTCATTTGAATTTTTCTTTGGCCAGTCGACCAGCAGTTTGTTTACGTACCCCTAGATAACACAGCCGTTATCAAAACCCATCTGATTCTTTCTTTCTTTCCCTTTCTTTTTACTCAGAATTTCCCTGTCATGGTAATGACACCCTTTCGCCATTTGTTACTTATCAATATATTCATTGTCTCTTAGCCGTGTGTGTGTTCTGCTTATCACAGACGATTCGTCTCGCCTTTCTTTCTGCCTTCTTTTCTTTCTTTTCCTTTTCTGCCTCGTAAATGGTGCCACACTGGGTTGGTGGCAAGGTCTCATTATTTTACAGTTGAAATGGCTAAATGTAACAATGGTCACAATGGTCGTTTGTAGAATTCTCTTTCGGTTTTTTGTTTTCAGTCGATATTTAAACGACAGTCGTTACATTCCGTCTTCCTAATTCTCGTTCATTTATTATTCCCTCGCCTTAACGTCTTCTTTATCTCATATTCTTTCACACACAGTAAACTCTTGCATTTTAGTGGCTTTATTACCTTCCTTGGGGTGTAATGATGAAACAAATAACTAGGTCGTTATTTTTTTTACATTCTACAACGATAAAGTAAAATAGATCGGAAAAAATGGGATTAGATTCTGTCGAGATTTGAAAGTACGATTTAAATAATAACTATTGTCAATACAAACTATTGTGAAAAACGATTGAAGACAATTCAAACTGCAGTGAAAATATATTGTAGGTATATATCTGTCCCTACACGACAAGAAATTTAACACAAGGTAGGTTTAATGTGCCGCTTACACGACGAATACACGGAATAGTATCAAACATTGCCTAGTTTCTCACAGACATCAAGGATCGACACTGATCATCGTTTGTAATGAGAGAGGTGCAGTCTGGGAAATGGACCCTCCGGAGGATGAGAATGTTACGCTTATTTTTAGCACAGTTGAGCTCTTGGTTATTTATTAAGCTTAGCATAATTTAACCGTATGCATGGTATCCCCAGTGAGGATTAAACTCATTATTTAGTAAGCATGACAAAAACGACTAGCATACCAAACTATACCCTACGCTGACCCGCCTTATTTACTATTTTCTTTTAACTATAGATCACTCAATCTAAGGCCAAAGAGCGATTCAAAGTAGCGCGTTATTGAATAAGGATATGGACATAAGAAGTGAATATTACGAGGATATGGCGGATAGATAACGATTTACATTGAAGAGGTGGCGGTTGTAGTGTTCGGGGGAGCATCAACCCGGGAATCTAGTCCGTAAAGTAGTTGTTCTTGGGAAGTAGCTTTCAGATTGGAACGGCTTTCTCAGCTTAGTTTGACACAAGGCTACAATTATAGAGCTCTCAGTAAGGATGGAACATCTACTGCTGTCATGTCTGATCAGGAGCTGTCCAGTTTTTACTTCCTAGTCTCGATAAAGTGTCTACGCGGCCTTGTGGGTGATGAATTATTTTCCACTCTACAACCCCTTTCTTACAAACCAAACGTTGCAAAACTCTTGTTACTCTATGAAT